TTCCTAGAGTCTTTTATTTTGCTCTTTACTTATAATTTGGGTTTCTCATGTAAGAGAAACCATTCAGTATTTAAGCTTGTGTGTCTGGTTTATTTCACTTAATATTAGGGTCTCAAGATGCATCCATTTTCCTACAGATAAATTCATTTATCTTTCTTTATGGCAAAATAATACTCCGTTGTGTGTCAGTGCCACATTTTCTTTATCCATTCATCAGTTGATGGGCATATAGCCTCTTCCAAGATTTAGCTGTTAGGAATTGTGCTATATATACAGGCATGCATGTATCACTGTACTATGGTATCTGTAACTCTTCTGGGAAGATACATAGAAGGGGAATGGAAGGGTCAAATGGCATTTCTAGTTTCAGTTTTTTTGAGGAATCTGCATACTGATTTCCGTATTTACCATCCCACCAACAGTATAAAAGGATTCCTCCCCTCTCCTCACCCAACCACAGACTTGCCAGCATTTGTTATTTTTACTATTTGATTTCTTGGTGATGGCCCTTCTTTCTGGGGTGAGGTGGAATCTCAGTGTTGTTCTTTAATAGCCAGTGATGTTGAGCATTTCTTCATGTATTTATTGGCTATTTATACTCAATTTTACTTGCCTATTTTTTTATTAGATTTTTTTATTTTTGGTGGTCTAATTTTTTGAGTTCTTCATATATTCTAAATATTTGATCTCTGCTTGGGATATATCTGGCATTTTTTCCCATCCTATAGGCTGTTTTCCACTCTGTTAGTTTCTTTTGCTGTGCAGTAGGAAAAAAAAATTTCTGCAAATCTTTTTCTTGCACATCCTCACTGTCAGATCAGCAACTGTGAGGTAGATGAGTCATAATATTTTGATACAAAGGAGGAATTAAATTCCAAAATGAATATCCTTAAGGAAACCTTTAAAATGTTCTAAACTAAGTCTGAGGATAATGTACCATAAAAAGATAATGTCTAATCTTACTGGTCTGTCACCCCACTGCCCTGCCTCCCCCAAAAAAGCTAGCTTCAGACTCAAAAGAGTCCTTTCTCTATAAGTGAGTAAATCCTATAAAATAGGAAAAGCCAAGATAAGCAAGTGACACAGTGTTTTAAATACTTTTTTTCTGGGTACCATCCACTCTAAAATACTTTCAAACATCATGTTTAGATTGTACATCATGCAGCTCACCTTATCTATGACTGTGTTAATTGGCTAGTAGCTTCCTGCAAGCTGCCCTCTTCTCAAAATGTAAAAGAAAAATGCTATAACCATACAGAATAATTATGTTTGTTTACATTATTTCCAAAGTAGAATGTTCATGGAGGTGAGTTTTAATTCTCACAGACCAATTAATTCAAAACCCTCATGTGCAGTACGAGCTGTAAAGATACGAGCTAACATTTATTAAGAACATGATCAGTGCTAGGTACTATTCTCAAACTTTTGCCCATTATCTCATTGAATTCTCATCAGAGCCCTGTATTAATTTACACTTAGTTTTACCTATGAGAAAATGAGGTGTGGTTACTGAGAGTCACAAACCAAAGCAGTCTGGTTGTAGAGTGATTCCCACAGCTACATTAGGATAGGCAGGAGGAAGGGGAGGTCTGAAGACCTACTTCAAAGAGACAAAGCTGTGTTTAAAGATTATTTGGTAGACTGAGGAATGTAGCTCAATGATAGAGCACTTCCCTAGCATTTGCAGAGCCCTGGGTTTGATCCCCAGCACTGCAAAATACATACATATTTTGTTGTTGCTGTTGTAGTCTGTAGAATTCTAGGAAGAAGAAAAATGTCTTAAGAAATCAGTGTCTCTATGAGCAGATTTTTAGACTAGTTGTGGATTTCAGAATTATAGCCTGATATATTCAAACCCAGGCTCCATTTGGATGTAACATAAGAACTTTCACCTTCTGCAAATATTTGCTCTGAGAGCTCCCACCTGTACAATAAACAAGCATGCACCAGCATTCCGTGCATCTCTCAAGTTGATCTCTTGAAAACATGACCATGTAGGACAGTCAGATTTCCTACGAGCTAGTCTTTGCTAGGTAGGTACACTAGCTATAAAAGATATGAAGCCATAAACTTGGCAGCAGCTCCAAAATAGCCAGTTGGGCCTGGAATATTATCATGCTCATTATGTGCATTTACTGTGCATGGGCTCGCTGCTGTCCAAATCTACCCTCAATCCCCAATCAAAAAGAAATAATGATAGGAACACAGCTAACATGACATGACTGGGGACAATACAGAGTGACATGACCCGAGGTGATGAGGAAAACACTTATGGTTTCCTGGCCATCCCCTCCCCCATTCTGCCATTTATTTTAATGTCCATTACATCCTCTCCCTGGCTGTCACAGACAGAAAAGCCAAAAGATATTTATGAAGCCATACCCATTAATATCACCCATGGTGCAGCCAGAATGCAATCAGGTGAAGACGGGCTTCTGCAGTTCTAGTTGCAGAGCTAAGGACCAGCCAGGCATCTTCTCAGAGCCCAGGTGCCTTCCACAAAAACCCACAGGAAGCTAGAGAGTCATCCACATTGACCCTTGCCCCATTAAGAGGGAAAGACAGCAGAAAGAAGAATAAATTAGATTTCAAACTGGGATCAAGAGACAGAGAAATAAATAATACAAATAAACAAAATCTGTATTTTTATAGTTACTGCTTTACTAGGTAGTTCAAGCATACTCATTTCTAGCCCAACCACCAAGACTCAGAAGTCCATTTTTAAGTAGCCCCTTCTTTTGCATGTAGAATGGTTATTGATCCTGCATGCAGTCCTTAAATTTTCAGTAGATGCATAGAACCACTGCTAAACAACACACTAAATCCTAAACATAGGAGATTCTCACTCCACAATTGTATCATGTCCGGAGAGTAATCCCATAATTTCCTGCATGGAAATATCTCACTATTCCAAGAAATATTTTCTTTTTACTAAGTAGGAATAACTGCTTGTATTCTTCAGAGAGCATTCTGTTGAATGGTTTTTAATTTTTTTATCCATAATTCTGGAGGGAAGATATGCCTATTCAACCCAAAACCAAAATGCACATAATTTCATCTTTCCTTAAGGACTGAGAGGCTTACTTTGAGATCTCCCTGAAACTCAGGAACTGCAGTGCGAGCAACATATACTGTATAAAAGAAACATAAGTATAGCAGTTGACATATGGCCTGAGAATTGTGTCCCAGTCACCAGTGTCTCTACTGGTAGTTAGGCATGGGTGACCCAAAAGGTCTTCCCACTGTAGAAGTGAAAGAAGAACATAGTTAACTCTTCTCACTGTATGGAGTTGAGCTAAAACTTCTCTTGACACATACATTCACTCACCTCATGTACACACTAAACACATACTCAGAAAACCAAGATTAAGGCCCATGTAAAATTTTAAGTCCTGTGATGGTAATATGGGATGTGATAGGGTTTCTTTTTAGGCCAAAGAGTGAGGACATTTTTTCCTTAAAAAGAAAAGCATCACGTTTTTTGGAATGTAAAAGATACAAAGCAGTGAGCTTAAAATGGATTTTCATCTTCAAAACAATGTGCTGGATCAACAAGGTCACTGTAGAAATGGTTATCTGAGATTTGATTAGAAATAAATAAAGAAACCCATGAGATAAGGATATCACTGATGGAAAAAATTACTAAGTTCTCACTTTTTCTCATTTCCTCTGATATTTAGTATTTTCTTCTTCATCTGATGATATAAACTAGAGGCAAATTTCCAAAATAATTAAGTCATAAATCTTGTTTTGAAGGAAAGACAGAAGGAGAAAAGAAAGAGAAAAAGAAAGACGAGAATAAAGAAGGCAAAGAAAAAAGTTTAAAAAAAAAAAAAAAGAAGAGGCATTTTTAAGAGAGCTTCCAGGATGTGAATTAAGTATGGCATTAAATTTTTTCCACCAAGAGTTAGCCATGGCAGGTTTCTGATAAAATGCAAGAGTTTCATGGATGTGGGAACCGGTGATGGGAAATGCCTTATTATACACAATTGTTGTACTTGAGAGAAACTATACAGGGGAAAAAATAACACCCTAGAATAAATACAAATGAAATTCATGTATCAAAATCAATACTGTGAAACTAGTTTAAATGTTTCTTGAATTTATATCTAGTCATTAACCTAAATGCAGATTTAAGTTCAAGCCACACTTCTGCCTCGTGGTCAGAAAGCCTGGGAACCTGTGGCGTGGAAAATTGGCAGGATAAAGAATATTGAATTGGTCTTCTTGGAAAAACAGATTTTGGCAGCCATAACCACCTCCCTGAGCTGATCTCTCTCCCTTTTTCTTTCTTCTGCCCTGTGTCACTCTTGTCCCAGCAAAAATGCCAAAAGAAGGGCATCTATGAGCTACCAGCAAGCAGATGTCAACCTGGCCATTCACTAAAGAACTTTCCTCATTGATCTTGAAGCCCATCTTTGGAATGAGCCCCCAAAATCCCCAAACTGGACTTGCCTATTGATAACACTAATTTCCATTTCTACTGACTTTGGTTTGCTTCTTCAGGGGAAGAAAACTAGGGCACCTGCTTCACCCACCTGTCTTAAAAGAAACTGCAGTTCACGAATGGAAATGATAAATTCACAAAAAATGCTACAAATCCATTCCTCTCACTCCATTGTGTTCTAGTCCCATGATTATTTCAAGGATAGCAGACGTTTCTTTGGAGTTTTATTTAGTCTAGGGAACAAAATCTGGGAACTTCTCTGAAAAGATTACTCTAACTTGGAAGATCCCAACAAATAATCCACCTTGCCCCTCAAGTTCAAGTTCATTCCCCCCGAGTCTACCCTAAGCCCAGGCTCCACAAAGACCTATGTTGGTGGAGGTTTTTGTTCTGGCTTTGTTTCCACCCTCCCCAGACTCCATGGCTTCAGCAGGATTTGGGGTCCTTTGCATGAGTAAATTGGGGTGAGGACCACAGCCCCCAGTGAATGTTGTCCGTGTACTTTGCCTGTGCCTCTAGGTGGTTTTCACCCTGATTTTTTCTTTCTTTGCAGCTGGTTAATAATCCTCTAGCAAGTCAGGCCGCAGCGGCTGCAGCCATGGGCTCCCTAGCAAGCTCACAGGCCTTTGGCAATGCCCTCTCCAGCCTTCAGGGGGTCACGGGTCAACTAGTTACTAATGCACAAGGACAGGTGAGTGGGAGATGGGGACAAGAGTGAATTTTTATGGCAGATTGAACTCGGAAAGGAAATGAATTTCTTTTGCATGACAGTGATATGTAACCACATCTATCCGAGGCGAATAAATAATGTTTACTAGCAGTGTCAAGAATAGAAGAAGGGTTGGGAGGTGTTTCTATATTTTAGGAGCAAGATTTTTCTTTCCTTCCCTGAGAATGTCAAAGATAGATTTATTTATTTTTTTATGTGTTTATTTATTTATGCGATGACTTGTGACCTTTGTTGAAGAAGTTCCTTTTCATTACTGAGGCATTTGTTGAACCAAGCCAACAAGAAGTTAAATCTTTGAAATAAAATTTTAATATTGCTTTTGAATTTTTCACTTAAGAAAAAAACACACTTGTATATGACTGGGAACCTGGTGAGTTTCCTCCCCTGGTTGCTGTAAGATTTCTAAGCGAGTCTCCGTGAAAGTGACTTGCGAAGTTTGGGAAGGTGCTGAAGAAGCCCCGGAAAGCAACCAAGGAAACGGGGAGTTAGAAAGATGTCAACTGCAAGTCACCCCTCAGCTCCTTCCGGTTTCAGGGAAGCCAACCTGCGCACCTACAGATTTTCTTTAGTCTGTCAGGGCCAGTCAATTGTCCTCATGTCATGAGAAAACAACGGAGCCCTTATGCTGCTAATGTGTCCACGTCACATGTCCCAAGATGACACACTGAGACAGCTTCAGGTGGCCCAATAAACCCAAAAGTGACATGGAAAGCAAACAAGAGTGAAGCTGATGATGTCAGGGTTGCCCTCCAGTCAGAGCCCCAGCAGGGTGGTGAGTGCTTTGGCTCCTCCACTGTAGCTGTTTGTGATCAGGAAACCTGCAGGGGTGTGGGGGAGGTGGGAGCGTGCATCCTCACAGATTTCCCTTCTTGGAGTTATTCATTTTTTACAGACCCTCTGCTTGGCCCGCTCAGGGGTGAGCAGGAATTGCAGTGTCTTTGACCCGGTTTTTATCTTACATAAAGAGTAAACAAAGATGCATTATAAGCTAACCATCTCCATCTACATCCACGGAAAGAAAAAGCTGACCTTGTTCTATTTCCTAGGCGGGTGCAGGATTGTCCCATCAGAAGCCCCAGGGCTGAACGATGGCGCTTGTCAAAGAGAGGCCCCGTGCAATGAATCATCTTATCACAGGTGCACACCACACATATTAAAGGAGGGTTGTATGAACACTGTGCCCTCTACAGTAACCTTTCAGTGTCTGCTTTAACCCTTGTTCCAATCCCTTTTCATCAAAGGATCATTTTATGCAGTCGACTCTAAATGGAGGCTCTCAAAAGCCTATTAAGACTTCTGGAGGTGTGGGGCTGGGGATTTAGCTCAGGGGCACAGCGTTTGCCTGGCAAACGCAAGGTCGTGAGTTCGATTTCTGGTACTGGAAGAAAAACAAGATTTCTAGAGGGGTGGAGTATTGGTGTGGAAGAAAACTTGGTTTAAATACATATAACTCATACCTGCATCATGTCGGTGCTGGAAGCTGCTTCCCGGAGTTGTGCCCAGAATAGAACACCTTGCTTTTCTACTGCCAGGTGGATAGCCCTTGAGATGTAAATTTATTTTTTTCCTGGTACTGGGGATCAAATCCAATCCTTCATGCTGAGCTACATCCCCAGCTCTATTTTTATTTTTATTTTTTATTCTGAGAAAAGTTCTCACTAAGTCACTATATTACCCAGGCTGGGCTTGAACTTGTGATCCTCTTGCCTGAGTCTTTTAGACTGCTGGGTTTACAGGTGTGTGCCACCACATCCCTGTGAATTTTAAGAGTTCAAGATAGAAAACATATCCACTGATGAGAATTTCTTTTTTATTTTTCTGTTTTAACTTCTAAGTATGATGTACCACTATGCCCTACCATTTGAGTATTTGTAATGAAGGAAATGCTTTATTCTCTAGAACAAATTATTTGGAATTTATGCTTCTGATGATTTAATGGCTGATCATATAACCTGTTATAAATTCTCAAGGGTTAGAGTGACAACTTTTGCCAGCCCCTCCCTAAGTTAGCTCTCCCAAATCACAGGCATTTGTGAGAAAAAGATCTTTGAAGTAGAATACTGATTGCTGATTTTACCTTTTATTTTGGAATCTGTGTTATGACAGTTTATTTGATATGGTACACAATCCCCTTAAAGTGGAAAAGAATTACATTCGCAGAGTCATCAATAATGCCTACTCAGAAAGTCTTGTCTGAGTTTTAACACATCTCCAGTGATGTCACGTCCTCTTTCTGGTAATGAAAGAATATGAGAATTAAAGTACATCCCCAATAGATGAACAGGCCACATTCATGAAGCACTGTGTTTTGTTGCTGTTGTTTTAATCTTTGGAAGTGGTGGTAGATACTTAACTGCCAAAAAGACAAAATCAAAAAAAATTATTTGATCTGTGTGTGTGTGTGTGTGTGTGTGTGTGTGTGTGTGTTCCTTAGGCTTATGTTAATGTGATTCAAAAGGTGAGAATACAGTGGAATCCGATTAACATAATTAGTCTTGCTGAAAATACCATGTGAATAACACTCTGAGAGGGTAGGCTCAAAAGTTCAAGCCCAGCCAGGACAACTTAGCAACTTTTGAGGCCTTGTCTCAAAATAAAAAAAAAAATCATAAAAGGGTTAGAGCTGTAGTTCATTGTGAAGGCAAAGGATTCAATCTCCAATACCACAGAAAGAAAAATATATGTGAACTAGGATAGCTATGCCCAACCCATTTTTTATCTTCTTAAAAAAACTCAATGGAATTTTCCCAGAAAAGCCACAAAGAGCAAATTCTTACTATATTTAAAAATTCTTTTATTGAGGTTCTTGACAGCAACTACTTTTTCCATTTGAAGGTTTGCCCAGGGATATGATCACTGAAAGCTATGACTAAGATTGAGACACACATGTTACTGGCAGTTATGCTTATGAACAAGGTTAGGTCTGTAGAGAAGGTATGAGGGGGCTGTGCCTGTCCTTGCACCCCACCTGCTAAGGATTTTGTAGGGAGCTACCTGGAAACAAAAGACAGGATTTCCCACTGGGTCAGAGCCCTGACTTTGAACTCATCCCTATCCTGAAAATTCAAATGGACCCTTGTGAAGCTGTTGCATCTCTGCAAGGCAGGCAGCCAAATGGTACTAGGTCAGCCTCCCCGACAGGGTGAGGGAGGAATATTCTAGAATCTTCCTTCAGCCTCTTCCTCAGCTCTCCACAGGAAGAAATCCCACCACCTGGGTCTTTCGATTCTGCATCCTTGTCTTAGAATTTAACTGTGTTCTCATTATCTGGATTCCAGTAAATGTGAAGAGATGGAAAATCTCCATATGCTGAAGGATTTTTTTCTACTCCCTTTCTTTTTTTTCCTACAAGTAATTTGAGCAAATATTCTGGAAAAAACTTCAGTCATTATTATACCTTTTTAACTCTGCCCATTCATGTGGTGTTAATTCAAAAGACAGGCACTGGCATTATTTAATAAAGTTTCATTATTGTTTTGTTGCATTTTGTTTTACTTTGTTGTCATTTTTGGTGCTAGGGATTGAACCTTTGTATAGTACTACATCCCTAGCCCTTTATTAAATTTTTATTTCAAGGCAAGGTCTTGCTAAGTCACGCAGTTGCTAAGGCTAGGCTCAAGCTTGCAATCCTCCTGCCTCTGCCTCCAGGTAGGAGTGTTAATTTTAACAAAAATGCTACATTCTAAAGTCACAAGGCACATGTCTCACTCAGAGATACTAAGGTATTTTAAAATTATACTGCATCCAATTTTATTCTGAGGTGGGAAATATGGCATATATTTTCCTGGTAATCAGTGGCCACAAATGGATCGTGGCTGTGGTATTGCTGAGAGGAACACAGGGGTTCTTTTCTCTTATTGGATGGGGACCCAGGCAATTATCAAAAGCTGGCAAGGATGGAAGCCTAAGCTATGGACCTGGAATCCCAATATTAGCTCTATAACCTGAACAGACTACTTGAGCCCTCTGAGCCTCAGTTTTCCTAACCTTAAAATAAGGATATTAAGAATCTCAGTCCCCTTGGGGGCTAGGGATTTAGCTCAGCGGCAAAGCGCCTGCCTGGCAAGCGCAAGGTCATGAGTTCGGTTCCCAGTACCGGAGAAAAACCAAAAAACCA